TATGACATTTGAATGGTAGTATATATTTAATAGAATATTTCATGAATAATAAGTATTCGTATAATTATATAATCATAATATAATTATGGTGTTGCAGGTCAGTTGCATTCATTTTTATGTAGATGCAGCAAATTATTTGTTGTAAATACATATAGAACTTAATACAAAAAAATGTAAGTAATAAAATGTAATAAAAGGTGATAGCCGCCACCAGGTCACTGCCAGGATGCTGGAATTGTGGATTCACTTGTAAACGTTTTGGAAGCACTAGTGTTATACAAAGACAAAATAATAATAATAATCAGGTTGGGGCATGTTGTCACCAGGTGTTTTACATGCTAAAATTGTATTAATTACAATTTCTGTTGACCAAAACATAATTTGTGTATATGTGTATGACATTTGAATGGTAGTATATATTTAATAGAATATTTCATGAATAATAAGTATTCGTATAATTATATAATCATAATATAATTAATGATTAATAAAACAAAAATGTTTGAGACAGTATGTCTACAGTTTAAACATGATATATGTGTGTGTGTGTGTGTGTGTGTTCGCGTTTTTGTGACAAATGAGGACATAAATTTGTATAATGACAAGGGTATGACAGGTATTACAAGGAGAAGGGGACTTTTCAGGACATTACTCCATGTCCCCACTTTTCAAAACGCTTATAAATCACACAGAATGGAGTGTATTGAAAATCTGAAATAGCACAAAGTTTCCTGTGAGGGGTAGGTTTAGGGGTAGGGTTGGTGTAGGGCAATAGAATATACGGTCTGTACAGTATAAAAACCATTACGCCTATGGAGAGTCCCCACTTTTCACAAATGTAAACCTGTGTGTGTGTGTGTAGTGAACTTATACCTGTGTATATATAGTGTTATTATAGTATCATTAATATACTATTATAGATTTATTCATATTTTTAATGAAACGCATTTATATTTTCGGTTTTAAAGTGAGCTATTCTGTAATGCTTTGTCATTTTAAAGTTTAGTCATTTTGTTGCGTTTTTGTCCTTTTATTATTATTATTTTTTTTTTTTTTTTATATATCTACGTAGTTTTTATTACAAGTTGTCACAAAATGTAATGTGTCAAATTCTCTTTAAATTTTTTATTTTTTAGTAAATACTTTGATGCACCGAGAACTATTCACGGGAGCAAAAAAAAATTTTTTTAAATAAAAGAATAAAAACTCGGCCTCCTCTCATACGTTCCTACAGCGCTCTCTCGAGTCGGTCACCGCGCGCTCGCTCTGACTCAAATGCTGACGTGTTGCTCCGCCTCCTCCTCAACATTTGCTTTCGCTTAAAACTAAAATACTATTACAAATAACTGCATTTCGAAACAGAAAGGTGACTCCACGATGAACTTCTATTCTGTATGAACTAAAGAGGCATGTGTTCATCGTGTTCATCTCTCTCTCGTACTGCATTATAACTCTATTTTCTGCCAGAAAGGCGAGTCCAGATGTCAGCTCGAGTCTGCCACATCACTGAACGACTTCACGTGCAAATAACCCCCCAAGAGTCCATTTTGACGCATTTTATGTCAATCATACCAAGATATTTCATTGGGAGGTGCCTCGCTTTACAACACAATAGGCTGTAAAGGCGCAACGCGTTATATTTATTACCGTGTAATGGATTTGAAGCGTGTCTCCCATCTCTGATGTAATCGTGCATGTCTCTGGCTTCACCTAAAATGGTCAAAAACATAATATTGAGAAATATTAGAGTGGACGGCGTAAGGAAGTGAAATGCGCAGACCATCGACTGTACTAAAAAAAGATCTGCATGTTTGCATTGATACGTGAATGTGCATTTGTCATCAAAGCACGCATGCAGCGAGCCGCTAGTGGACTCTTGTAGTAATAGTCACTCTAGTCATTCATTCAAATAAAAGTTGACCCAGCTTACCAGCGTCTCCACAACCAACTGTTCGATCACGCTTTCTTTGCTATCTGCGTCCTCAGCTGCAACAAATGCAAAAGCTGCGAGAAAAATCAAGGCGATTCCTGTCCGAATTCGCATCGTGTCTCACGTTATGAGACAATCAGCACCAACAATAACCACTAAAATGATCAAAGCTACTCTAAGTGGCTCGCTTCCGTCTCAAGAGTCGCCCCACTGCAGCCTGCGGCGCTGAGAGAGCCGATAAATACTCGGACACAAGAAGTCACCGAAGGCGAGATGCCAGTTAAAGCTGATGTGTTATTATAGTGAAGAGATAACGGTGGGGTTAGACGACCCCCGAGCACTGGACCAATACCTGGGTCACTGGAATCCCCGCCTTATAATCCGCCAGCATCCCAGAAGTCCCTCCACATGGCTGCTGCTGCTGCTGCTGTTAGAGAACTGCCCTGCTAGAGGGCGCGTGAGATTCTGCGCTTGAGAAAAGCACTACTGCGTCCTTTTTTTCTTGATTTGTTTAAAGGCGAAGTGTGTAATTTCTGCAAAACAAGCGTCAGTAACCGGAACTGCAAAAATAATAGTTGTTGTCAAACAAGTTTCTTGACAACTCCCCCGTCTTCCATTGGTTTCGCAAACAGATAGCCCCGCCCCCGCCACGTTGAACCAATGAGCAATGAGCAAGAAGTATTTTATGATCCGAAAAGTAGGCACTACAGCTTTAAGATTATTTTCTTTACAATAAACTTTAAAGGGGTCAAGTTTTCCTTTCTCTTTGGAGTGTTACAAGCTGATTGTGCATAGATAAAGATGAATGCGAATTATATAAATTTTTATCTATAGTCTATAATGCTTTTGCACCATAAATAAGCTATAAAGGCGTAGCCTACCCTAGTAGCCTATAATTATTTTCTTCTTTGAATTCACATCTTATTTTTATATTTTTAAAGGGTTAGTTCACCCAAAAATGACAATTCTGTCATTAATTACTCACCCTCCTGACGTTCCAAACCCGTAAGACCTTCGCTCATCTTCGGAACACAATTGAAGATGTTTTTGATCAAATCTGAGAGCTCTCTGACCCTCCGTAGACATCAATGCAACTGAAATGTTCCCAGGTCCAGAAACGCAGCAAGGACATCGGTAAAATAGTCCATGTGACATCAGGGGTTCAACCGTAATTTTCCGAAGCTACAAGAATACTTTTTGTACGCAAAGAAAACAATAATAACAACATATTCAACAATTCTTCTCCCCGCGTTACCGTCTTCCGCCATTTTGAAGAGTACCCCAGAACGTATTCAACGTAATCGCCGTTGTTTACATTCAGTAGACAGCACGCACATGCTGAACGTAAATTTGTAAATTTGTGTTCCAAAGACGAACGAAGGTCTTACGGGTTTGGAACGACATGAGGGTGAGTAATTAATGACAGAATTTTCATTTTTGGGTGAACTATCCCTTTAAGTTATCTTTGAGTTATCATGTTATCTTTGCAAGTTATGTTATTTTATTATCACTTTTTACTATAGTTATTTTATTATCATTAGCTAATGTTATTTTAGTATCCCTACCATTATAGTTTTTGTTAATATTTTGAATTAGACTTTTTATTTTTCTGTTTTCATTGTAATTTTAGGTTACGTTTTAATAATTTTGTGTATTTAGTTTTTTTATTATTATTATTTTTTAGTTTTTATTGAAATATATTGATGTAGGCTAGTTCATATTAAGTTTTAATTTACATAGTTTTAATTATTTTAGTGCTTTAGCATAAACTAAATGAAAATGAGAAATGCCTTGCCTTGGCCACTAGCAGAAATAAAACATTTCAAATAGTTATTTCAGTAATTGTTTATTTAATTACAAGTAATTATAATTTGTAATGGTTTTAGTATAGTTACTAAACAATAACAAGTCTGGAGTAGACCGCCATGTGATTTAAGTTACTAAACTATTTCATATTAACCATCAGTTTAACAGTTTATTTATTGTTTAATTTCAAGACTTAAAATGTCTTTTTATTTTCCCTTTTGTTTCCCTCAAATAGCCCTAAATGGGTGAAAAATAAATGCAGGCCTACACATTTTATGCTTCAATACAAAAATGCTAGATATTTACTAAGAATTTCCAGGGAAGTTGTATTTTGAAGGACGGTTGTGTTGTGCCCAGTGTTGGGGTAATATATAACAAGTAACGCGAGTTACATAATCAGATTACTTTTTTCAAGTAACTAGAAAAGTAACGCATTACTTTTTAATTTACAAGAGAATACTTTTTCAGATAAGTAACGCAATTTACTTTTTTTTCCAATTTATTGATTGACAGCTCTCCTGTCCCCATGTTGAGAGAAATCAGAAGATGTTACTGTAGTTCTAAAATAAATATGAATATACATTAATTCATCTCACTCACACAAAAAAAAAAACACAGATTCAGTATTCCTCAAAATGAATAAAAATAATGCAACTCAGAATATGACGCAAACCTGCAATAATTGAATGTTAAACAACACAAATATCCTTTATGTATTTAATCCCATTCTATTAACCAATGTCTTTGCTTCTGACCTTCGATGATGCAGTTCAACCGTACTAATAAGCAGAAATAACTCTAGACAAACACTTGTGTGTTTATTTTATTTTTTTATTTATTTAAGTGTGTTGAAATATCTTCTTCTGCATTCTACTGTACGGACGTAAATTTACTTTCCCTTCAGCCTGAGGCTTATTCATTTCACTTTAGGTGTGAAAAGGCTTTTATATTTGCCAAAAATAGAACTTTTTTATTTTAAAAGCAAACAAGCAAGCCCTGTCCAGATTTTTAAAAGTAACGCAAAAGGAACGTGACGCATTACTTTTCATAAAAAGTAACTAAGTACCGTAATTAGTTACTTTTTATGGAGTAACGCAATATTGTAATGCATTACTTTTAAAAGTAACTTTCCCCAACACTGTTTGTGACACCTCAAGCATTTCCTTGACATCTCATTTGTTTGGCTATATGCTACCTGACCTGACTGGAGGCAGTCTCAAGATGCGAAAACCAAACATCGCGAGAAATCCCCATCCAAGCCCGTGCTGTCGGCGTGAACTCTCGTGAGATTTTCTCTCTGTCTCTCCGTGTCCAAAATCGGCTGGTGTCAGCTCGCAAGGTAATGCGGATACGTTCAGTTGTTGTGTTTGCTTTAAAACGAAGCGTTTGGAAGTGGTTCTGACGGGTTGAAATGTTGTCTGTACGTTTGGTGAAATGTGACAGCGCTGCTGGAAACAGAAAGGCGACAGGCCTTCCGCGAGGCACGTAGCGTCTCTCTATCTCTCCAAATGAATGAAGATCTGTATCCCAGATGATGTGCTTGCTGTCTTACGCCTCTTCAGATATTATGACAGCTCGGGTTTGAATTGATTCTGGTTTGCTTTTGCATGAATTGTAGTGATCTTGCATAAGAACAATTTCATCCATCTGCTTCGTGCCAAACGCCTCTCTTCACGGAGAAGCTCCGATCTTTGTGTCCTACGCCGACATTGTCAAAGGGTCGTAGGCCTTTATGAGCTCCAACAAGCCGGCAGTAATCTAAATTATGAATTTAGAGCCATATTAATGTTTTTAAAGACCATCGTATTAGATGGACCTCCGTCTAGCGCAGTTGTATTTCGGTGTCTCGTGACTACATTGTTGGGGTCTCTTGCACGGGTTTGAGGAGACTCATTCAGAAACAAGGAAGCCTTTAAAAAACGACGAAGTCTGTTACAAAAATAATTGGAAATGATAATCGTGATGTGTTTTGTGTGGAAGGGGTTTGCTGGAGGTGGGTCGGGGCGTCAGCACCATGGACAGCTCCGCCGGAGTCAGACCCCCGCAGCATCATTATCAGATTATTATTCATCACAAACACCTTCTCGTATTACTGTCTTAGTGGACACATTTACATGTGCATTAAGTATACTTTCATGCTGGTTATGCAGCTTTAATATTGTTATCTTTTGTCTTGATTTTAAAGGGGAGGCCAAGGCTAGTTGTCACACTTCTGTCATTATTACTCAGAATAGATTTATTTTTAAAAGTCAGTTTCTTTCTAGGCATGTTTTAGGAAACAAACTCTATTTAACATTTCCACTGTGGCTAGGAAAATAGAAAGATACAAATTAACACACTTTGACATTTGGTGGCAACATAACCCAGTAGCAGGGCATTGAGACATTATAAGCTGTCACAATATGGACATGCTATTTTTGTTCTTTTTTTTCAGCAAAATTAAAATTTTGAAACACAAAACAAGTCGTTAAATATGGACATGCTATTCTTTAATTTTTTTTTAAACTTTTTTCAGCAAAATTTAATTTTTTTAACACAGTACAAGTCACGTAATGGCAAACATGTAAAATGTAAAATATATATTTTTTAATTACGACATTTAAAACATTTGAGAAACTATGCTGACATAAAATGTTTTTACAGGTCCTGTGCTCGCAGTTTAACATTTTCATTTAAAATCTGAACGTGTGTCAATAATGTGCTTTTTATTGTGTTTTGTTTTAGCCTGGATTTGTTTAACCAACAGTCATAGCAAGAATTTGATAATTGGTATTTCAGTTTGATGGACAGAATTAACAAATGAAATTTGCTGAACATTTACTCACCCTCAGGCCGTCATCCAAGAAGTAGATGAGTTTGTTTCTTCATCAGAACAAATTTGGAGAAATTTTGCATTACACCACTTGCTCACCACTGGATCCTCTGCAGTGAATGGGTGCCGTCAGAATGAGAGTCCAAACAGCTGCTAAAAACATCACAATAATCCACATGACTCCACTTCAACAGCAAGCATCAGTTTATCACATTTGTAAAACACAAATCCATCATTAGGCATTTTTAACTTAAAATCCTTGCTTCCGGCTAAAACACAAGTCCATAATTCATAATAACACTTTCTCCAGTGAAAAAGTCCATCCCCTGGTTTTTTTCTATTTGTTTAGAACTGTTTAGACTGTTTTCGCTGTGTATATTTCTCTTCTGATTTATAAAACTTTTTAACTGGTGAAAACAGTATTAAAGGATTAGTTCACCCAAAAATGAAAATTAGGCTGCGCTTTACTCACCCCCGAGGCATCCTAGGTGTATATGACTTTCTTCTTTCAGACGAATCCAGTCGGAGTTATATTAAAAATTGTCTTTGATCTTTCAAGTTGTTTAATGGCACTCAGGGGGGGTGTTGCAGTGCTTCAGTCCAAAAGAAGTGAAATAAAAAGCGCCCATCCATAAAAAAAAGTGTCTCACACGGCTCCGGGGGGTGAACAAAGGCCTTCTGTAGTGAATCGATGCGTTTTTGTAAGAAAAATATCCATATTCAAAACGTAATAATCAGTTTAATGTAGCTTGCACCAACAGATGTACACAGAAGCCGTTCCGGGAGCATGACGTATGAGGTCAGCGTTGTGTATGCGCAGGTGAGTCTCGTGAAAACCAACGTTTGTTAACAGGAGCAAAGGAAGCAAAGTTTCCTTACTTTAGCAAAGGAAAACCAGTCTCCTCTTGACTTATATCAAAACCCTCTGACATTCTTCTTTACAAATCCTCGTTTTGTGCCCCTCATTCTCGACTGTTGTTTTGTTTTGATCTCTCCGCTGCGCTTCCACGTGCGTCACTTCTGAGCGGCGCATGAGCAAAGCCGACCTCATACGTCATTCCCCCAGAACTGCTTCTGTTTACAACAGTGAGCGCAAGCTAGATTCAAGTGATTATTACTTTTGAATATGGATATTTTTCTTACAAAAATGCATCGATTCACTACAGAAGGCCTTTGTTCACCCCCCGGAGCCGTGTGAGACACTTTTTTTTATGGATGGGCGCTTTTTATTTCACTTCTTTTGGACTGATGCACTGCAACACCCGCTGAGTGGCATTAAACAGCTTGAAAGATCAAAGACAATTTTTTATATAACTTCGACTGGATTCGTCTGAAAGAAGAAAGTCATATACACCTAGCATGCCTCGGGGGTGAGTAAAACGCAGCCTAATTTTCAGTTTTGGGGGAACTAACCCTTTAAGGATCGAGGACTTGTATTTTAGCTGGAAGTAACAGTTTGATGGACTTGTGGACATCTTAAAGGATTTGTTTCTCACAAACGCACAGATGTTCAGATTTTTATTGATGGACTAGAGCGGTGTGGATTACTTGTGGATTATCAAGATGTTTTTTTATCAGCTGTTTGAACTCTCATTCTGACGGCACCCATTCACTGCAGAGGATCCATTGATGTAATGCTAAATTTCTCCAAATCTGTTCCAAAAACGAAACAAACTCATCTACTTCTTGGATGACCTGAAGTAAATATTCAGCAAATTTTCATTATTGGGTCACCTATTCCTTTAAAAGTGTTTAAAACTAGGTGTTTGAAACAAACACACAATGACACACAACACACTGCTAGAGAAAATATAGATTTGTGTATTTGGACATTTGACTCAAAGCCTTACATTTCCTTTGATAAAGCCACTGTGTGACTAACCTCAGTCTCCCTTAAACACGTTTAATTTCAAATTTAAGCTTTATACATTGACAAATTCGTGAATTAGGACAACACGGTTATCGGGGAATGTGTTCAACATCTCGGATAACTCCATCTGGGAATGTTCAGGGATGACTATTGGGGGTTCATGTGAAGGCGGGATATGAGAGGGATGAACAGATTGCTGAATGGCCTGAAGACATGGCAGGATCATAGTTTCTTCAGTTCAGTATGTAGCTTGTACACATAAAGCAGACTAGTGAAGATCAGAAATGTATACACATCCAAAAGCATCATGTTCATTCAATCCGCTTGCAACTTCCAAATGCGTCTTTGATAATCAGTTTTGTGTGATTACAGCAGGTGAAATAATGTTTGGCTGAAATGTTCAGATTGCACTGCTCATGATTTACATGTTAAATTCAGTCAGTCCAACTGAATCACACTTTATGTAGATCATTTGCTGCAATATGAGGATGCATATTTGTACCATAAAGGTATGTATTAGTATCTATAAAAAGTAAATATTAGCACCTAAAAGGAACAAAAAGTACCTTTTGAAAAGTGACAGCTTTTGTACCTTTTTTTCATGGAGTGTATAACTGTACATACATGCCTACACTACTGTTTACTGTTTTGGAATAAAGTCTCTCATTCTTATTATCGAATATACCGTAAATAAAAAACAGTAATATTTCAATTTGAAATAATTGTTTTCTATTGAAATAATTGGTTATACTTTACTTGAAGGGGTGTGCATAAGACTGACATGACACCTTCATAATCATGACATGACATCTACATAATCATGACATGACACATGTCATGAATATGAAGGGTTTTTTATGCATGTTTATGACAACTGTCATTAAGTGTCATTCGCTCAGTTATGTAATTTTAATGCAAAGATTACATTGTTTGAGATGTCTTTGTTATGGGTTATGGTTAGGGGTAAGGGTAGGGGTAGGGTTAGGTCAAATAATGTCATATTTGCATTAAAAATGACATAACTGAGTGAATGACACTTAATGACAGTTGTCATAAACATGCATAAAACCTCCTTCATATTCATGACATGTGTCATGTCATGATTATGAAGGTGTCATGTCAGTCTTATGCACACCCCTTCAAGTAAAGTGTTACCAAATAATTTTTAAATGTAATTTATTCTAGTGATGACAAAGCTTCAGTCTTCAGTGTCACATGATTCTTGAAAAATCCTTTTAATATGCTGATTTCATGAAACATTTTTTTTATTATTATCAATATTGAGAATGGTTCTTCTTATTATTAATATTTGTTATGATGCATTTATTCAGGATTCTTTGATGAATAGTACGTTCAAAAGAACAGCGTTACTTTGAAATATAATTTTAGTTAATAAGATTAATTTAATATGTCCTTGCTAAAAAAAAGTGCACATTTTATGAGAGTGAGAATAACATTTCCTCTTCTTTTCCCCTTTCCAGGACTCTAGATTCTTTTTCTCAGCTAAGTAACCTAAATAACCAAGGCTTTCAGTTTTTTTTTACCTCAGTCAATTGTTCCACACCAAGGACTCACAGCTTTCTGGATTGCGATTGGCTAGACGAAGCAAAACATTGAATCATGGGGAATATTTTTGGCAATCTGCTGAAGAGTCTGATAGGGAAGAAAGAGATGAGAATTCTGATGGTTGGATTAGATGCTGCTGGTAAAACCACCATCCTTTACAAACTGAAGCTGGGAGAGATCGTGACCACCATCCCAACCATTGGTAAAATCCTTCTCTTACTTTATTCTATTGTCATGTTGACTTACAATACTATTATACAGGTATCTGTTCATCCTTAGGCAGAATTTAAGGTCTGAGACACAATGACATTTCAAACACACAGTGTATAAATTTGTATTTACTTTATGTATTTCATATAGAGCCATTATATTTTTACAGTTGCTGTGAGGTGAATGTACAGTAACTGAATTGTACTGTGATTCTGGGCCACACAGTGTAAGTTTGTGATGTTTGTGTTTGTGTTTTAAGGCTTTAACGTGGAGACAGTGGAGTACAAGAACATCAGCTTCACTGTGTGGGATGTGGGTGGTCAGGATAAAATCAGACCACTCTGGAGACACTACTTTCAAAATACACAGGGTGAGTTACACATACACTCCACGTCTCCCACTAAAACACAAGCTGGATTGAGTTGACTGTGTAAATGATTGTAATTTGGTGTGTCTGTGTAGTTTGTGTTGTGTTCAGTGAGCACACACTGCATTTACATGGCTGGTCCTGCAGAGCCACCTTGTAAACATCAAGCAGGGTTATTATAGCTAACTAAAATTAAAACCATGTTTTTGTTACTTGAAAATATGTAATATTTGTAAAAATGTATTTTATTGGAATAGTTCCCTAGGCAACATTATTCATTTTCATTTTAGTTTAACTTTATGTTTTAATATATAACTAAAACTGAAATACAAAAAACTATAGAAAAATATATATTCTTTATATAAAATATATAATGTATATAAAAAACTAATAATGATGACAAAAACACATAACAGAAAATGGAAAATATTGAAAAAAACTATTAGTACCTCAATGATACTAAAATAACACTGGTTAACATGTCCACATCTTAGTGTAAAATAGCTCAAATAAACATGTTCTTTTTAAACAAAACATTGCATAGCTGAATACAATCTGTGTATTTTTTGAGTCGTGTTAATGTTTGTTGCTCGTTGAATTAAATGAAGTCTCTATATTCTTTATCTCTGCTCATTTTTCTTTCCTTAGGTCTTATCTTTGTGGTTGACAGCAACGATCGGGAGAGAGTTAACGAGGCGCGGGAGGAGTTAATGAGGATGCTTGCAGAAGACGAACTGCGTGATGCTGTCCTTCTTGTCTTTGCAAACAAACAGGTACTGTGATTTTGTTTATTAAAGCATCCCTACTACCTGACAGATCACAAATTTATATGTCCAAAAAATATTTCATATTTTCATATTTAATCACCATTTAAAAGATTGGGGTCATATTTATTCAGCAAGAATTAAATAATTAGAAGTGACAGTAAACTATACTTTTACATTGTCACAGCACAAATTCTATTTCAAATAAATGCTGTTCTTTTAAACTTTCTATTCATAGATAACCCAGGAAACATGGATTTTCCAAAAAATTAAGCAACAAAAAAAAATTTCAACATAATAACAAGAAATTATGCTTATTGAGCAGCAAATCAGCATATTAAAATGATTTCTGAAGGATCACGTGACACTGAAGACTGGAGTAATGATGCTGAAAATCCAGCTTTGCCAACACAGGAAAAAATTACATTTTAAAATGTATTCAAATAGAAAACACTTATTTTTAAATTGTAATGCTATTTCACAATATTACCGTTTTAAGTGTCTTTTTATCAAATAAATGCAGTCCTAGTGAGCTTCTTTCAAAAACATTAAAAAGTCTTCCTCAAACTTTTCAATATTAGTATATAGGTCACTAGCATAACATTTTATAGAAACAGAAAACATGTCCATCAATGGGCAGTCCATAATCTATCGTCTGTATTTCTGTGGCTAAATTGTATATTTATTTTAGAATAAAAATATCTGGTCCTATCTAAGCAAATATTCAATTTCACAATCTACTCTCTTGTTTTATTCCTCCTTGACTCCAGGATCTGCCAAACGCTATGAATGCAGCTGAGATCACAGACAAACTCGGCCTCCATTCGCTCCGCCATCGCAACTGGTATATACAAGCGACCTGCGCGACCAGCGGCGACGGTCTGTACGAAGGGCTCGACTGGCTCGCCAATCAGCTCAAGAATAAGAAGTGAGGGGCGGGATTTGCATTACGTGGCCGTCTCTCGCTTTGGGAAAGGGGTGGGACTAATTTGGCCTTTGGAATCATTATGTTTGGTTTCTCTTTGTTTAATTTTCGTTCTTTTTTGGTTGTATTCTGGAAAAACACAGTATGTGGTTTATGGAGCCTTCTGTGCTCTGTGTAAATCATCTGTAGGTTTGTACGCACACGCATTCACACGCAGATCAATATTTCCTCTGTTAACTTTTCCATTTCACTGTACGAAAGGTGTCGGTTTATAGCATCAACGTTTAGTAGATTTTATCGTCTCTCCCTCTCTCGCTCACGTGTTTACAATCAGTGATCAGTGTTGTCCTTGACTGCCATGATAAAGATCGTTGGGTCTGAGCGTGCTCATGTATTATGTAATATGCTTATGTATTTCCTCGTGTTGTCGAAATGCTCCGTAGATGCGATTATGATGCAGTTTGCCTCTTCACGCACACAATATCCACAGTCTGCGATCCCGGCGGTTCGTGATTGCGTTAGATACCCTGCTGTGTTTTGCATGGCTCTTTCTCTCGGTGTCGTGTTAAGCGTTGTGGTGTATTAGAGGTTAGAGCTACATGTGCGTGTTTAGTCACACAAAGCTGGTTGGTGGTGCATGCTGCTTTGTGGCCGTGGTGTACTAGAATGGACGCTGTACAACGAATGTCGCTTATCATCACACATCCCTCGCCTAAATTGTGAGTCAAACGTGGTGCTGTTGAGTTGTCCACCATAATTCGCATTCAAGTGAAGCTGTAAATAAAGCTTTTTCCAATCAAACGCCCCTTTGTTGTAGAATTGACTTGGCTAGTTGTTGCATGGGTAATGTTTTGAACGAATCACTAGCATTGTCTGCATGGCATGCATGCTGTGCTGTTAGTCCGATAGATAGATAGATAGATAGATAGATAGATAGATAGTGAAATGCTGTTTAACACAGTCCTTTATTAATAGTTGCTATACTAATTTGCCACTGACATGATTAGTAGATTGTTATGACACTACATTTTTTGCTTTTGCTTTCATATTAGTGAACAGCATAAAACAGCACACACATACATACATACATACATACATTAAACCTCGGTATGTCAGTTGTCTGCGGCAAACTGCATAATAACTCGTCTGCTTGTGTGTTTGTTTGCATGTTTCATGCTCATAATGCGTTTTGTGAACATATCGCCCCCAACGAATGTGAATTTGTTGAATCAGTGCACACATTTGGGCTTTATTCATGGTGTTTTGGATTATTACAGTTCAGAAATGAGAAAAATATATAGATATGTATATTTAAAAGTAGGTTGTCTTTTGTGTTTAACACGTCATATTCTATAACATAATCTATATCTGTTACAGACTACAAGGACGGTCTGCGGCAAACTGCATAATAACTCGTCTGCTTGTGTGTTTGTTTGCATGTTTCATGCTCATAATGCGTTTTGTGGGTTCAGACTAACATATCGCCCCCAACGAATGTGAATTTGTTGAATCAGTGCACACATTTGGGCTTTATTCATGGTGTTTTGGATTATTACAGTTCAGAAATGAGAAAAATATATAGATATGTATATTTAAAAGTAGGTTGTCTTTTGTGTTTAACACGTCATATTCTATAACATAATCTATATCTGTTACAGACTACAAGGACAAATCAAATGCTTACCTATTTTACCATGCTAGCTAGTGTAAATACAACAAAACTGCTTATCCTGCATTGCGTGTGTGTCGGTAATCCATCCATCACACAAAAATCTAACACTAACACAGTCTGTTTGTAATTGTATGTGTTTCTAGCATTGTTTTCTAGTTTGCATTTTTGGCATCTTCCCACTTAATACCAAGCACCTTTACACTAAAACCCATTGTTATGACTCTTATGACTGTATGAACATTATAAAAGGCAAGTCTTTTCAACTTAGGACATGATTCGAATGGAGTCTTGTATTATTTTGAGCGCTGTAGCGTGTGGGATGCAGGAACGGGAGAGTTACCAAAACTTATTGTGTTATTTAGCAAGACACTTAACCTCAAATGATCCAGTTTGGCACACTCTACAGTAGTATTTCAGCATATAATGCAAACAGCGATATGTTCTACACAAGTCTGCAGTGTGAATCGTCCAGTCTGTTAAGTTCTGTGGCCTTATCTTCTTACAAAAGTGTGTTTTCACAAGGTTATTTATTAACTAAGTTATTGGGTCACTGAGTTGGTTGTTTTGTTTTAGTTGATCTGGGAACAAAAGGGGTTAAAAAATCTCAAATAGGTAGTTTGCTTGTTTTCAAAGCATTTATTCTTTGCATTAAATAGTTTGTGCGCTTATTGAGTAGCTAGGGTTGACTTTTTAGGATGGTTTAAAGTTTGATTTGATCTTCTTCGATATTATATTTTTATTTATGTATTTATTTTGGTGAATGTGTTTTCACCTCTGTGTGCTTATGCATTTTCTTTGTTGATTTTTTTACTGTGTTGGGTAAATCATTTTAATGGCTTATACAGTGTCAGTGAACATAATCAATGAAGAGGAAAACAATTTCTCACTGAATAATCAATAAATAAATAGAACTTAGAAATCATGGATGAAATGTGTAATTATCTGTTACAGTAGATTAAGAAAGATTATTGTTGATTATTATGATGTAGACACCAAAATCTTTCTCTCCCTCTGATCCCTGACTGTAACGCTACGCTCAAATAAAAACATGAAAATTATTTGCTGTGTCTTCTCTCTTTTGTGTTGGTTCCATTTTACATTTTAATGCTACTTTTTTTTAGTGGACATAAGAACCTTATGTAATGACCACACCTGCTGGAAGATTATAGTGGATACTGTAGAATAAACCTATCCCTCCTGGTCTGGAATATGCTTTAGTAAAGCCACCTAATGACTTCATCATATTGTATATTATGTGTAATGTCTTATATTGATCTCTGGTAGGCGCCAGAAATGGATCATGTCTAATCCTAGATTTAATTACAGTTTTAATGGATTGCATTATTTATCGTAAACGTCTCACAAATATAAACTGTGCTTTGAAACTTCTAAGCTGGAGTCGTGGAGTAGGCCTATATCGAGTCTCTTTCTGCACTGCTGTCCCTTATGTCCACCAGAAGAGGGCAGAACTATTGTGAAAACCAACAGTTTCAGACACTTTTCACTTTGTGAAAGGAAGTAAAGAACAAAAAAAGCATATTAGCATTACGGCATATGTGCTTGCCAATGTATAATATATACAGTGCGAACCATTTACAAACCCACGAGATGTTCAAAGTAGGAAGTGTGTGAGAAAGCTCAATCGGAGTGTGTTCTGGCCCATAATGCTGTTGGCTGGTGAGATATTAACGAACAAGGAATGTGTCTCAAAATCATAAAATACCTTGTTTATGCGCTGCACTTCCCTGTAAAAAGAAAAAATAGCATATGATGTATCAGAGCATATAGAGGACAGTAAAGAATTCATTAAGGGTTGTTGTGTAAGTCTGTCTGTCTGTGTGTGTGTGTGTCTGTGTGTGTACTACTTGTTTGTTCAATCAGTGCCTCATACAAACCGGTAGTGCAGGAAGAGCTGGTCTTTAAAACCTGTTTTCCAACTGTGCCTACACTCACATGCTGTCTGAATGGAGAACAAGGGAGAAGTTAATTGTTCAAAAAGTACCAATTAGAAAACATTGCATGCTGTGAAAAGAAAAACACTTTAAAATAATCATTTGATTAACGTGTAGCATCCATTTGGGCCATGTCAAATTTGAGGAACTATAAGGAATATGCTTAATAATAACGAAAAAATATATAAAGTGTATTTTTTAAATAAAAAAAGCTTAATAATTATTTTAGATTACAATTAAATGCATTATTGTGAGGCACAGGATGTGATGTGTGCTCTCATACTGTTGAGACATTTAGAATAAATTACAAAAATGGGAAAAAAAATAAACAATATAACAATGTATATAATAATTACAAATATACATTATTATTTTGTCAGTTATTCAATTGATGTGATTTCTGTGTTTGAGAGTAAAAGTTTAGTGATTACTGTTGGGGAATTACAGTGAGTACAATCCAAAAATGACATTAAAATGGAACAAAATAAATATATAAAAATTTTAATTAAATACAATTTCTAAAATAATATTCAAATGTACACTGTAAAAAAAAATCTGTCGTTTTTACAAAATAATTTTGGCAGCTGTGGTTACCAGAATAATTTTGTAAAAAATACAGAAAAACTGTAAACACATTTACGGCCAAAAACTGTATAAAACTGTAATGTCAGTTTACAGTTTTTGACTGTAAATTATACATTGATTTGTTATTTTTACTTCTAGAAAATATAAAATTAACAGCATTTTACTGTAAAATTACATGAAATGTCTGGTTAGATATTTTACAGTTTTTCCCTGTATATAGTACGGGAACTTACTGTTAACCTATTAACAGTTTTTTTCCCGTAGCGTTTTTACAAAATTTTACTGTTAAAATTACATTTATTTTTTACAGTGTATATTATTTTGACAGTTATTGAATTGATGTGATTTCTGTGTTTGAGAGTAAAAGTTTAGTGATTACTGTTGGGGAATTACAGTGAGTACAATCCAAAAATGACATTAAAATGGAACAAAATAAATATATACAAATTTTAATTAAATACAATTTCTAAAATAATATTCAAATGTACACTGTAAAAAAAAATCTGTCGTTTTTACAAAATAATTTTGGCAGCTGTGGTTACCAGAATAATTTTGTAAAAAATACAGAAAAACTGTAAACACATTTACGGCCAAAAACTGTATAAAACTGTAATGTCAGTTTACAGTTTTTGACTGTAAATTATACATTGATTTGTTATTTTTACTTCTAGAAAATATAAAATGAACAGCATTTTACTGTAAAATTACATGAAATGTCTGGTTAGATATTTTACAGTTTTTCCCTGTATATAGTACGGGAACTTACTGTTAACCTATTAACAGTTTTTTTCCCGTAGCGTTTTTACAAAATTTTACTGTTAAAATTACATTTATTTTTTACAGTGTATATTATTTTGACAGTTATCGAATTGCTGTGGTTTTTGTTTCAGAGTGATGTGTGATTTGTGAGGCATTTAGAATTTATAGAATTCAAATGAATACATTACAAAAAGGAAATCAAAATGGAAAAACAAATAAAAATAATAATAAAATATGATTTTATTTTGTCTGAGAGTGTGCTCTAAACACTTTCTTGTCTCGGAGGTCTGAAGCCATCTGAACTGAGGCACAAAGTGTTCTTTGTGAGACTGTGAGTCCAGAGCCATCAAAGAAACACTGATAAACTAGTGGACGATACTCGGACACAATGCCAGCCTTGACTTACACACAATGAGACCCTCACTCCAAGATAACATTATTATCGATACAGCAAAGCCCGGATGTGTGTATGTGTTTGTTCAGGGACAGGGAGAGAGAGAGAGAGAGCGCGAGAGCACATACATCTATCACAATATCGTCGGTGTTTTCAGTGTAGGCTGTGAGGACTGTCGCTTACTGAGGGAAATTCATCTGTTTATGACGGTCAGGAGTTCACAATCAAGGCTTTATGACTTGTTTACATGTTTGAAATAAATCAGTGCACGGGCTTCGGAATTACAAGGTCGACGTCACCTTGATCAGACCCAATCAGCGTTCAGCATCGTTCACCTGTCCGCGTAAACAGGTAACAAACCTCGAGACGGCATTCCTGCGTGCTCGAGCCTTTTCATATTTACAAACCTTTTAACCTCGCCTGTATTCTGGGAGCTTTTCAACTCAAACTATTGATTGTATTACAATTTTTGTTTAAATCAGAGTGCTAGCTTTGAACTGACGTAGCCTATACCGAAGGATTTATAGCAGAAGTCTATAAACTTTTCCGCAACAAACGGAAATGGACTACTTGGTAATTTTTTCGTTTGCTCTACACTGAATGTAATACTTGGAACTTTTCGGATTAAAAAGTAAAGAAGAGAGAGAGAGAGAGAGAGAGAAAAGAAACGTCTGTCAAATTTCTGTCAAACTTGGACAAGCCGAAGTGAAGGGAGCATCATCTCTTCCCCGCTTCTTTGGCCATGAATATTTAACTGTCTGCTCAGACTGACGGACTGACCTCACATTGGGAATATTCTGAGGATGAGGATGATGAAGATGAATGCTGCTCTGCTGCAGATGCTCGCGCTGTGTCTCGCGCTCCGTTCACCTGCGCGCGCTCAGACAGAGGAAGGTAAACATGAAGGTAGGCTAAATCTGTTTTTACTGTATGCGCAATGCACCTGGAAAGACATAAGAGAATAGCATAAACATTTGCATTTTAATATTTAGGATGCTAATGCATTATGCATTTGCTACTTGTTTTATTAAAGTGACACTTTGCATAAATTTCATGCAAGTGTAATAGTAATAATAAAGTGTAATTTGCATACAAATATTGTAAAATTTAATAATTTAAAAGGAGTTTTTACAAACAGCTCCACAAATTTGTAACAAAATGTGTTCAAACCCATATGTGCTTACACAATATACATCCCAAAATAGTGATGTTGCTGTCCGTAGCTAATGCATTCAGAAAACCTGTTTCTGCACCATTGTGTCTAAGCGAGATATGTTTGTTTTTCTTAGGCTGTGAGTGTAAAAGGAGAGATTCGTTCCTGTACTAAATCAGTGCTCAGTTCAAATAACAAGTGACTCAACCAGTAGATTTAGTTTAACCTGTTCCCTGACTCAACGGCTGTCTTCTGAAAAGAAGAAATCACAGAGGAGTTTGAACGTGTGATGCCAGCTGCATTTGCCTACTTCTTGTACTGAATCTCATTAACGTTCGCTAGAATATTGTCTAGTTTTTTGGTTTCGTCTACACAGAAGATCAACTGTGGCCCTATTCAAAGAGGATCCCAGTTTTCAAAATAGTGGTCAGTCGTAATGTATGTTTTTATTGTTAATTCCACCCAAATCTGAAATATTGGGTTGCATCAGTGGTTAAATACAGTATTTTGTAAATTGCGTACATTCACATAATTTGTACTTGCTAATGAGGAATTATCAAATGCAGGAAGTATCCATGAAGAAAATACTAGACAACACAAGGAAAACAATCTGTTTTGGCTCATACACAGAGACAGAGTGAGATGTGATTTGATGCACTGGTTGATCTTTGGCCTGTGCAGTAGTGTTGACTAAGAAGGGTGGAGCACAATGGCATGAACAACAACAGGTGTGTAGTCCAGGTGATCTGGCAACAGGTGAAACTACTGGACAGAGTCACATAATCCCACGTCATGACCAATCTGATTTGACTGCGACCCCCTGAATAGAATCCCTTTACAAATCATGCATTTCTTTATTTCTGTCACGACAATGAGTTTTAGCATGGTAATGTGCAAGACAATGTTAATGTGTTTGATCTTGGTGGAATAGATCTGCTGTGCTGCTGCGGCAGAACCAGTACCAAGATTTGCTACTGCCAGTCCATCCAGAGACATGCTGCTGTGAGCATGTCAGAAATACTGCTGCTGCACATATAACACATATGAAATAACCCCCATATATAGCGTACATAAAAGTACCCCATTGCAGATCTATACAGGTGGAGCTGGGGGAGGTGGAGGGTTTCTGAAGTGTGCTGCAACTTCTACAGCAAACACTAGCCAAGTATTTAAATGTTTAGCAGCGAGCTCATTGGCTGCACACAGGGGCGGACTGGCCATCTGGACGTTCTGGAGAACGTTCGACGGCCGTCAGCTTGGCTGGTTCATCATCAAAGAAAAAGTGTCAAATTAAGTGACGTTGACGACCAACAAAAGGGGGCGCTAATGCAATTCAATCCCCTGCTGAAAGAAACAACAACAGTAGAAACCATCAATAGAATTTGTAATGCATTTACTGGTTATAATGGAAATTGTATTGGTTGTATTGGATCCTATTGGTCTCTACTGGTAATTGGTTGCCTATTATTGTTGTTAAATAATATTATTGTTAAAACCACTAAATCCTAATGGAACATGTCCCAAAACACACTACAGAAAACCATTATTTAATGGTTTTAATGATTAAAAGTTGATGGTTTGTAATGTTTGTAATGGCATTTGTTGTGGAAACCATTAGAATTTCTGTGATGGTTTCTATTGTTTTTTTCAGCAGGGCCACTATGGGTTTTGTGATGTTATTTGCCATAAATGCAATACATTGATTGCTGTAATATTGTGAGATAGCAGCGGTTGTTTGTAGTTGTGGTGGGCCTATTTGGGAGAAAATCCAGGGCCGTTCCGTCCCTGGCTGCACATGCAATTAAAACGACTTCAGTAATGATGTGATTCTATCAGATGAGTTAGAACCTATTGGCCTAGAGTTTCATGGTAGAACTTTGTATTTATGTAGTAAATAACTAAAACAGGGTGGGGGATTGCATCTAAATGAACATTAAATATACAGTAAATATTCAAAAATTCATAATTGATCTAATCTTGTATCACAGAAAACAAATGTTTTAAAATCTGAAGTAGTCCTTTCTGATCAGTAGTACTCTTTTCTCCGAATGTCAATTAAAGGGATACTTTAAAATGTTATTTTAAAAATGTTAACTGTGTAAGAATTTAACCTTTTTCCATGTAATCACAATAAATGTTACCTGGGGTTTTCAAGCTAAAAACAATGTATGGGTAATGTGTGGGTAAACAATGCATTAACTAATTAACAGTTAACTTATTGGAAAGTATTACCCAATATTTTGATAGCACCATAGTGTTTACAGTTTTCATAAATATAAACCTATGACTGACTTTCTTATAGCATATTAAGATGGGATATTTTTTTAAATAAATAAAATACAAAAACATAAATTATTTATTATATTTAATTTTATTTCATATTGCATGCACACATACTCACATACACAAACACATGTCTGATAAATCAAAATAATTCCTTCTCTTGCCCGGGGAACAGCAGTAACCTGTAACTTTTAATGGCTTTTAGGTGCAAAACAAAGTCATTAAGCTAGGTATGGTTTCTCTGTGTGTGCATGCCTGTGTGTTGTGTGTTAGCTGACCCTTTAATGACAATAAATGATTCAGACATTAATGTGTAGATTTATGTGTATTTATGCCTGTGAGTACCAATCAGTCAGGTTTGGATAATCTCTTTGTGACTGTGGCCAAGTTTCTGTTGTGTGCCGCTTTAGACCTCCCCTGGCTTTTGTTTCTCGTACCTGTGATGTGAACCTGATAGTTGAACCTAGCGTGTGTGAGTGTTTGTTTGAGTTTTGGCGGTTCTTACACTTGTTTTCGCGCTCTGGTTGAATGGGAGCATTGTATCATTGTCTGCACACTTGAGTGCACACACTGAGGGCCGTTCACATGAACACATTCATGCTTTTAGAACAGCAGAATATTAAAGTTTTTAAAAACATTCTTCTTTCAAAAGGATAGCTCACCAAAAAAATGAAAATTCTGTCATCATTTACTCACCCTCATGTCATTCTAAATATGTGACTGACTTTCTTCTGTTGAGCATAAAAGAAGATATTTTGAAGAATGTGGGTAACCAAACAGTATGAACAAATACTATGTAAGTCAAATGGGACCAGAAACTGTTATTATATTATATTATTATTAGTAAAATGTTTAATTTGACATTTTGATTGACATTATTGCTTTTTAAAAGTGTACGTCTGTGTATTAAGAAACATACTGTTCACTTTAAGAAAAATCTGTATAGACATATGGCCCAATCTGCTTTGTTAATAGGTGTTTACCTTGTGTTTTGTTTTAGGGTTGAAGGAAATGTCCGTAAATTTAACAGGAAATGTACTGGTAATATTCTGCCAGGACTTTTTAAATGAACTTTACAGATGTTACATAACACTCAGATGTTATGTTTCATATTGAAATCTCAGACTTTTAATTGCATGCTTTGTTGAGTTTGGTGTGATTATACTGGGGTCTTTTTCCTCAAGAGAATAATCTAAGCAGGTAAAAGCTGATGGTTTGAAGCCTTTTCTGACATTACTGGCCTTACCTGTCCCATTGTGAACCATAACACCCTAAAGTTCAACTCCAGATCTTATCGGTTCAGGTTCTCAGTACATGTATCTATAATATGGGAACTGTGTATGTGTTAAAGACAAGACTGTATTTGTTTAGCATGTATTTTGTACCAAGTGGAAAGAAAATTTAAGAAAATATACTAATTATCTCACTGTTCTGTGATTCTAAACTAAATAACTAAAACTAAAACTGAAACCATCATTACTTGAAACAAAATAAATAACTAAAATAACACTATATATATATATACAGTATATATATATATAACCATTATTTTATTACATTTTCAATTAGTTTAACTTGAAGTAGTAAAATAACTAAAACAAAATAAACTATACAATTTTTACACAAAAAAAGACACAAACAGACAACAAAATTAATAAAGCAAACTAAAATTAAAGTGAAAAATATAAAATAAAATCTAATTCAAAATACTAACAAAACCTATAAACATACAGTATATCAAAATACTAAAATAAGACTGCTGTGATCTGTGTTTGAGCGTTCCCTGCGTTTACCAAAGTTTGATAAGAACTAAAAGATTTCTAAATACAGCCTGGACCTACAAGAATTCTTTCTGAAAAGCACGATGTCTGATCGACACATCACACCTGTGTGGCTGGACTGAACACCTGCTTGTATTTCACAAGAGACATTTAGGCCCATTTGTTGGACTCTGTAACACTGTTAACAGTGTACAGTATGTACGTGTTATCAGTAAGTGCCTGTGTTTTACAGTTCTTTTGCATGAAATGAAGAGAAGCATTATGAGAGCAGAAACACTTCTATACCTGCCATTATGAATGTGTGATTCTTTAATCTCATATACTCTTTTTAACCTGCATTCTGATCCTAATGGGTCATAAATGGACCATATTCTCAGAAGAACTCTTGTTTCTTTGAGTTTTAATCTGTAAAGGCTCCTGCGGGCATTTCTGATCACCTCTAAGTATTAATGGGAATATTTTTTCCTAGACTCCCACCCTCAGTAATGGCTTGTTTTCACAAGGGCAAAATTTGAAATGCAAAATAGCTTCACCTCAAACTCCTTTAGTCCTCTATTACCTTTCATTTTGCGTTCCTGATGTCACTACATGAACAACAATGAAAGAAAAACAATCAACATATCATCAGCTGATGCTCAGTTGGAGATTTCTTTTGCATTAAATAGATCATAATGTGCAGTCAGTCGGCCATTATTGTAAATAATGACCCCTGTCAAGTTATTTTTTGATGATAATACACAATTGCTGGTCATTATCCTAGTAATTACAAAACTTCTTACGACATAAATATATAAATGGGCATGAAATATTAAATATTAGCTGAGATCGCGCAATTATTCCACTTAATTACAATGCTTCTTACCACATTAATATATAAATGGGCATTTAAAAAATAAATATTTGCTGAGATTGTGATATAATCAGATTATGCATCTTTTCAGATTTTATTTTGCATTGAATATGGCATAATGTGCATTCAGTCATTACTGTAAATAATGACCCCTGTTGAATTATTTTTTGCTTATATACAATTGCTGGTCATTATCCCACTAATTTTAACCACATATAAATAGGCATGAAATATTAAATATTAACAGAGGACACTGAGTAATATGATATATATGATATATTGTAGCAGTCATTATACAAAGATATTTGAACATTTTCTTTTCAATAGAAATGTATTATTCACTATTGTTCAAAAGTTTGACAGTTTAAGTAAAAGCTAAGTAAAAGTTTTTTAATTTAATTTAATATTTAAATTTAATTTAATTTAATTCAGCAAGGTTGCATTAAATTGATGAAAAGTGATTGTAAAGACATTTATATTGTTAAAAAAATTATATTTCAAATAATGTAGGCCTATCACGGTTTCCATAAAAATATTAAACAATATTTCTTGAGCAAATCAGCATATTAGAGTGATTTCTGAAGGACCATGTGACTGGAATAATGATGCTGAAAATTCAGCTTTGACATTTCAGGAATAAATTACATTTTAAAATATATTAAAACAGAACACAGTTATTTAAAATTGTAATAATATTTCACAATTTCACTATATTCTTGATCAAATAAATGCAGCTTTGGTGAACATAAGAGCATCTTTCAAAAACTTAAATTCCAAATGGTCGCGCATTTGTTTTTTGCTACAATTAATTATCTCTTTCTCTCTCTCTTTACAGTGTGTACAGGCACGCAGAACTCGCTGAGTGTGACAGGAAGCTCTGAGGTCCAGTACAAGCTCATGAAGGAGATGTACACGGGCTGCAAGATTGTCATAGGAAACCTGGAGATCACACAGATGGAGCACAACCGCAATTTGTCATTCCTACAGGTGAGGAAAATAGAGCAAGTTTGTAGGATCTAAAGATGCAACAAGAGATCAGGCCACTTCTGAATAAAGCATGCATAAGCCGTGCATGAGCTCACACCAGATTAATTTGTGTGGGCTCATGTCTGCGTCTGTATGTCTATTATGTTTCATTTGATGGACGTGTAACCCGACCCCTCTTTACAGAATATCCGTGAGGTAACGGGCTACATCCTCATCGCCATAAACCAATTCAGACGTTTACCGCTGGAACAGCTGCGAGTCATCCGAGGGACGTCTCTGTATGAAGATCGCTTCGCTCTCGCCATCCTCGTCAACTATCAGAAAGATGGAGTGTACGGACTAAAGGAGCTGGGCCTCACACACTTGACAGGTGCGCTCACACATACGTGACAGGTGACACATTCTCACCCACAGAAACACATACTGTCAAAACGCCCACAAATTTTCTATGGCAACAAGACTCTCTGGAGAGTGTGGTGTGGAAGAGTGAGTCAACGGACAGAAAAATATTTTTATGTGTGTGTGGTTTATTCAAGGAATTCACCCACAAATGAGCATTATCTCTTCATAAACCCAACTTGGACCGACACATACAGTGGGGCAAAAAAGTATTTAGTCAGCCACCAATTGTGCAAGTTCTCCCACTTAAAAAGATGAGAGAGGCCTGTAATTTTCATCATAGGTATACCTCAACTATGAGAGACAAAATGAGAAAAAAAATCCAGAAAATCACATTGTAGGATTTTTAAAGAATTTATTTGCAAATTATGGTCGAAAATAAGTATTTGGTCAATAACAAAATTTCATCTCAATACTTTGTTATATACACTTTGTTGGCAATGACAGAGGTCAAACATTTTCTGTAAGTCTTCACAAGGTTTTCACACACGGCTGCCTTATAGCTTGTAGAAAAATCCTATAGTATATTGTTCATCATGATAAATTCGAGGAGATTGACGTTAGATGGCTACAGTTAGGCTCGAGCATGTCCCAACCTGCTTCAGCAAACACGACACTTCTAATGTGAAGTACAATCCATGTTGTCTTTCCATTGTGTGTCTCTGAGTGTGTGAATCAATGAACATGTTTGTAATTTTTTCCATTGCCCTTCCTTTAGCCTCTTACTAATTTCATTGTGACTCAATGTGTGGAATCAATATGAATGTTACTTCTTGTAAAATCTGAGCACAGTATATACTGTATCTTTATTAGTAATGTTTGATTATTCATAGCAATTACCTAACAATCACCTAACAAAACCATAGCAAACATTCACAACACCCTTGTTTTGTGGCATCGACTTTAAAATTTTCTCCAGGAAAAATCCTAGAAAAAAATATTTGTAACTTTCATTTATTCTAGATTCATTACATGCAAAGTAAAACATTTAAAAAGTTTTTTTTTCTGATGATTAGAGCTTACAACTCACGAAAGTCAAAAATATTAGAATATTTCCTAAGATCAATCAAAAAAAAGATGTGCAAAACAGAAACGTTAAAGATCTTTAAAGTATGTTGATTTATGCACTCAATACTTGGTCGGGGCTCCTTTAGGACAAATGACAGCATCAGTGTGGCACTGCTGAGGTACTATTGAGCCTTCAGCTCGTCTTTTTCTCATCTTTCTCTTGAAAATATCCCATAGACTCCATATGGAGTTCAGGTCAGGCATGTTGGCTGGCCAATCAAGCACAGTAATATCATGGTCAGCAAACCCCTTGGAAGTGGTTTTGGCACTGTGGGCAGGTGCTAAAGTCCTGCTGGAAAAGAAAATCAGCATCTCCATAAAGCTTGTCAGCAGATGGAAGCAGAAAGTGCTCCAAAATCTCCTGGTAGATGGCTGCATTGACTTTGGACTTGATAAAACACAATGGACCAACACCAGCAGACGTCACGGCACCCCAAATAATCACTGACTTCAGAAACTTCACACTGGACTTCAAGCAGCTTGGATTTTGTGTCTCTCCAGTCTTCCTGCAGACTCCAGACCTTGATTTCAAAATGAAATGCAAAATTTACTTTTATCTGAAAAGAGGACTTTGGACCACTGAGCAACAGTCCAGTTCTTTTTCTCCTTAGCCCAGGTAAGATGCTTCTGACGTTGTTTCTGTTTCAGAAGTGGCTTGGTAACTCTTTTCCTGAAGACGTCTGAGCGTGGTGACTCTTGATGCACTGACTCCAGCTTCAGTCCACTCCTTGTGAAGCTCTCTCAAGTGTTTGAATCTGCTTTGTTTGACAGTATTCTCAAGCTTGCGGTCATCCCTGTTGCTTGTGCACCTTTTCCTACCCAATTTCTTCCTTCCAGTCAATTTTGCATTTAATATGCTTTGATACAGCACTCTGTGAACAGCCACCCCGTTCAGTAATGACCTTTTGTGACTTACCCTCTTTGTGGAGGGTGTCAATGATCGTCTTCTGAACCATTGCCAAGTCAGCAGTCTTCCCCATTATTGTGGTTTCAAAGAACAAGAGATACCCGGAATTTATTCTGTAGGGATGGTCATTTAATGAAACTCAAATCTAAATATTCTAATATTTTGAGATACTGG